ATAAATACATTCAGGGTGGGAGGAACGGGAATGATTTATGTTAGAGGATAATACGGGTAGGGGATCAAATAAGGCGCATCTTGGCCAGGAATAAATTTCCATTGGAAATCTGAAGATGTTTTCTTATTGTTGGAGGAGGGAGGTTTTGGAAAGGCATTCTGTGCAGGATGCCTGAGCCCCCGTGGATTTTAAGGGGAAATGGACAAACGTTGTGGCTGGCACAGCCCAACATGCCAGTCTGCAGATAGGATATATAGGACCACCAAAGCCAAAGCAGGAGCAGGAAAACGTGATATGGCTGCCGTTTGGTTGTATTTTTATTATTTATGAATCCATAAAATCTGTTGATTTTATTTAATCCAGGAATCACTTAAAAGATCTAGAAATCATTTTCTTCCCCTGTAAGTAAGAAATGCTTGATTTTTTGAGATTCTTATATGGCAACCCTCTCCTAAATCATGGCAGATGGACCATAACGAGACAGGAGAGAGACAGGACACTGAACGGGGCTCACCGGTGCTCCTGGCAGTACCAAGAAGAGATGAAGCACCTCGCTGCTGTATGTCCCCAATGGCAGGGACCTCTGGTGACACTTTCTCCCACTCTCAGCCAGGCTGCACCATCTCCTGGCTGCTTTCTTTTGATGACGCAGTTAAGTGAGATGAATCCAGGTCTTTACGAGCCCTTCTTCCAAGTGGCAGTGGTTATGCATGGTGCAATACAGTGGAAATCAAGACATATGTTCTTCCTCTTGCTTCAGCAATTACTCACAGAGCCCCTCGATGAAGTGAGGCAGGAGGATAGCTTTAGGAGGAACACACACACACACACACATATATACCCTTTGCATGGGCAGGAGGATCTCAAGTGATTTGCTGTCAGTGTGTTAATAGTAATACTAGTATAAATGCATGTGTCTGCATGTATTTACATATAAGCATATGTGTGTGCATATGCACATATAGTATATACTTCTGAAAGTGGTATAGTGCCAAAGTGACCAAAAAATGCAAAAGAGCATATTTTGCAAAATAAAAAAAAAGAGAAAATGGTGAAAATATAACCCTATGATTTAATGCTCCTCCATCTCTTCATTTATGTGAGTCATCCTGTCACTCACAAATTACCCTGTTGACTTAAACAGCAATCTGTATTGCAAGGCTGCAGGTCAGGCTGCCTGAGTGCACGAGCTCAGCCTGTTGGGCCCTGACTTGGGTGCCAAAATACATTTTTACTATTTGCTCTTTCAAATAAATAAAACCATCCCATTTTAACTAATCATCTCTAAGATGGACTTCAGAAGTTAATTCACACTGACTGATATTTTAAAAGTATTTATAAAAGAAATTGGTTTAAAAAAAAAGGAGGGAGGAAACTGTAAAACACAGGGAAATAAAGACAAGGAAAAGCAAGAAAATTCTTGGCTTCAGCTCACCCTCATGAAAATTGCTTGCTCTCAGCAATTAAGTATCTCAGCTAACGAAGGATGGAGACCTGATTCTTACTGGTAAGACTGTAGAGCAGGGGGTTGCTGAGAGTAGGGACAGGGATTGCACTTGCACAAGGGTCCCTGCAATGCCCCAGGCCAGGCAAAGATGCTGAGGTGCAACCTCCAAACCCCGCAGCAATGCCTGTACTGCTGGAGACACCTTGTGGTACACGGCTGAGAAATATAATAATGCACGGATTTAACAAGGGCCACCGGGGCCTGCTTTCCCAATCCTACTTTGCTTTTTCCACTTTCAGGGGCTGCTGGGGTTCTTCAAGCCAGGGGGAGCTGCCCACACGCATTTGCAGACAACGCAGATGCAGGAGTGAGTTACTAATCTATTGCTGACTATAACTCATGGATAACAAAGCCCCAGGTGAGCTGTAAGGATGAAAGGAAGGTCTTTTTAAAGAGCAGGGAAAGAAGTAGCACAAAGAATCAGCGATCGCAGACCCATGAAATCACGAAATACCCAACCCTTCTGTTTTTCTAAATTTATTTTTTATTTATTTATTGGTATTTTTCCAATATTATCAGACAACTTGCAGTTTCCTCCAGAACTGGAGCCTGGTGCTATGACCTACGTGGAGATGTTTTCAGCAATAACTACATTTTCAAAGAAGCCAGAGGGGAAAAAGCACCCAGGGGAGAAGAACCAGTGGGAAGCTGGGGGTGAGCCCATGCAGCAGCGAAAGCAAGCCTGCCCGGGCACAGCTTGGCATGAGTTTTCTGTTAGCACATGATTTGGGTCATGTGCTGCAGAGACATGTATGAGTTAGAGGTGCAGAAAATAACCTGTCCCTTGGGGGTGACCGTCTCCCTTTGGCTATTCCCTCCCAATGGCTGTGCCCCTGGACATGTTTGGGGTGCAGGGAATGAGGTGGGGACTGGCTGTGGGCAAAGTGTCTTCCCTGCATGCTTCTCCTGTTTAATCCCTGTAATTCTCTGGAAACAGAGGGGCTGCCAAGATTCACCGATCCTGGCAGTGAAAGGCTGGAAGGAATCATGAATACACCTAGGAGGGCTCAGGGTATTTGGGAATCCCTAAAACACTCCTCAAGCTCTTTCTGGTCTTCTCGAGGACTTGCTGCAAGATCTGCTGCTGCCGCCGAATCTACCTCTCTGCCTTAGTAACAGTTTGCAGGGAAGCAGAAGCAGTGCTCCTCTCTACCCCTGCTGCTGCGAGCTCTCTGCCTACAGCACAGCTGCTCTAGCAATAATGAGAATTTTTTTTACCCAGCTTTTATTTTAACAATTTTTGTGCAAAAAATAAACCAACTCCTGTTTTTCAAGCGGCTCTAGTGGCAAAAGGAGCAGACGCTGAATGGAAGGCCTGGAACCACACGTGTAAGGAGTTTGTCTGTTCTGCGTTTGCAGATTTGAACTGCGTTGCCATTATGCTTGAGTGCTTTCCGTATTAAACAAGATGAGGCGAGCACAATAACCGCATCCTGTTTTGGTTGAATCAGCAAGGAGGAGTTTCAGCACTCACTCTCCACAAATAATCCCATTCTCCCAGGCAGCTGTCTTCCGTGCAATGAAAGTGCAGACATCTACAGTATTACCCCGTGCCTGTTTGCAGAGTCTGCTGTTATCATGTTAACGAAGGGAGCTGAGATAATCACCTTAAAGCATAAATACATCTTGGATGCTGATTCACTTTCTCCTATTTGAGCCTATTTACCAGGGTAATTCTTATTTTTTTCCACTGCGGGCTTGTTGTGTCTGGAAGGATAGCTGTTTCTTTTTTCACAATTCAAATCCAAACAACTTAAAGCAAGATGCCTCTTGTCTAGATGTGATTATTCCTTCTCATTTTGTAGCCATACGTAGTATCAATTCCTAGATCTAAGGCCAGTCTAGACAATTTTGTTTGATCTGCAGCCTTAGCAGTCACACAGATCGTGCAGCCTCAGCCAACGCTGTGTGCGTCACTTACAGATGAAGACGGACACGCAGTTTTAGAGGATAATTTCTCTCAGTCTGAGATGGGTGACAGGAGTCAGCTTTTCCCCATGTCTTGTCAGGCCCTGCCATGTCAGTTAAAGCCACTGAAGGAGCCTGCGTGGGTGGATAAAATCTAAATTAGGTGCCTAATGCTCAGCCAGGTCATCTCAGGGGACAGGGATCCCTCCACCGCACGAATAGCAAGTCAGATATTGTGGCAGTCTCACAATACTCCATGTTTCCCTCAAGCCCCAGCCCCTGGAGTCGGGTGAATATGCATCTCACTTATTTTCTTCTCAGTAAATTTATATCTGGCATTTACGGTTGCAGCCAAAAAAATAAAATTATCCAAGCATGTGACTCAAGTTGGGTGTTCATAGGCTCAAAATGAAGAGTATCAATTAGCTCCCAGAGTAATGGTTTTTCTTCCTGAGTTCCCATGATTTTTTCCCAAGCCTGACTAACGACATCAGAACATCTGGTGTTGGCTAGGCTTCACACAGGAGGTTCAGCTACAGCGTGAGGACCGCGTGTGCCAGCTGGAGACTGGCATCTCCCCAGCTCCCAACGCCGGGCTCCTCCATGCATCCGCTCCCGCACCCCGGGAAGCCCCAATCCCACCCGGAGCCGGGGCAATCGGCTGTCACAGCGGGGATTGCGGCAGAGGTGTCCTGCAGGGGATAAGGACTGGGAGAACTGGGTGCTGACCTGAAGGAGCAGCTGTGGCGACGCAGCCCCGCGCTGGCAGCCAGCGATGAGGGCAGGGTAAGGGGGACGGGGCTGGGGGAAAGCAGCCAGGCCGCCATGGGGAGATCTTCCCAGGAGCTGTGCGATGGGGAAGGGAGTCCTAGTCTGTATTTTGTCCCGCTCCGTATTGAGGCTGGATCTGTGGGTGCAAGCCGTTGGCCCAGTCTGTGTTCAGACCTGCTCCGCATTTACGCCTGGCCCATATCCCTGTGCTGCTGGCCCAGGCCGTATTTAAGCCCGGTCTGTCGACTCCGTCTACATTTAGCCCCAGCCTGCAGCTCTGGTCCATCTTTAAGCCCTGCGCCTGTTGTCCTAGGCTGTATTTAGACCTAGTTTGTACTTAGGGCTGGTCTGTATTTAGCTCCGACCCGCAGGCCCAGTGTGATGTGCGCTGTGGTTTGTATGAAGGCCCGGTCTGTGGCAACTTCCCCTCAGGGAACCAGCGCTGCCCCCCGCCCCGTAGTGGTACAGTCTTCCCACCTCTCCCCTGTCACGCATGGTACAGCCCACACAGCGCCCTCCTCCGGGCAGCAGTGGTATGCTCCCCCTCGACCCCCCCCCCGCTTTTCTCGCGGCGGTGGTGCGCGCCGCGCCTGCGCAGTGTGGCGGCCGGCGCTCAGCTGGGCAGTGTTTACAGCTGACCGAGCGCGGCGGGACGGGCCGCGCCGCCGGGCCCGGGAAGGGGAGCGGGCCGCACCGGGCTGGCTTTCGCCCACCCGCCGCTCAGGTACGGCTCGACGGGCGAGGAGACCCTGTCCGTTGAGGTGCGGCCGGTCCCGACTCCACCTGACCTCACCGGGCAGCTGCAGCCCCCTTCACCTCAGCCCCGGCCGGAGCCGCGCCGCCTCCTCAGGCCGCAGCCCCCCCCTCCTCCTCCGCCTCAGCCCGGCCCTGCGGCTTTCCTCGGGCGGTGGGGCTCCCGCTTCTCCTGGAGGTGCCCCGCGGTGGGAGCATGGCCCTTCCCGTGGCCTCTCCTTCGCCCCAACACCGCTTCCCCGTCAGGGCGGCCTGGGCTCCCGCACGGCCGCGCTGGGGCTCTGGGCATGGCTGGAGGCAGAGATGCTGTGTGGAGACCGGAGGCACCCAGGTGTAATTAAAGCCGGGGGCGGGGAGGGGGGATATACCAACATCTGGCTTTCCTAGACCTCCCAGTCTCTCATCACCGTCACTTTGCTCGGCGGCAGCCTGATAACGCAGGTGGTGATTGACCTATATGGCGTGGGGCTTTTTAATTTGTTGTTTGAGAGGGTTAGAAGGGATCGGATTGAAAGCTGTGCCAGCTGTAACTGTTGGTTGTTTTTTTCTTATCGGTAAATAGCCTCACCTTTGTTATTCCTTCTGGAGCGTATTATGTCAGAGCAGGGATTATCCTGGAAATGTGTTGGGGTGAAGAATTGCATTTTTGTGCCTTGTGTATTGTTTTGAGTCTTCCTCTGTGCATCTGCTGGTGTTTGCCTTGGAAGAAATTGCTTTTATTTCAGTGTTTTGTTTCAGGCGTCTGAATCCAGCTTCTCATGTCAGACTTGTTTGTTTGTTTTTCTGTTTTGTTTTTCTTAAAGGGGAAGATGACAACATGCAATTGAAGGGATATTTCAACACTAAAAGGCTGCTTCGTTTGATACCTGTGTTGTGATCAGCTAAGGATCGTAGTTTTTGCATGTGAACTTTGTCCCTGCTCAGATTTGTGGAAATCTGTGCTTTACCTAGAAGCGTGAAAAGTGCAACTGGGCTAATTGTGGAGGGAGAGGATCTGGTTTTTAAAAGTTTGTTAAAAATAAGCCCTACTCATAGTCGTGGTCCCCATTTCCAATAGGAGAAGGGAAACAAGGTTAAACAAAGACGTGGAGTTACCTGAAGAGGAATTTAAATGTCAGAGTTCTATGTTCTGCATATAAAACATGCATTTTATTGGAAGCAAGCTAGCATCCAGTAAAAGTGATCATTTCAGAAGTAACTCACACCTGTCACAACTTGGATATTCCTTGATCTCATTAGAAAAATGTCTTCAATATTGTAGGACGTGGAAGAATAGTTGTTCATCATATAGCTGTGCTAAACCCAGGTTGGACCAGTTGTCCCAGTGGGGCTTGTGTACATCAGAAAGAATTTGTTCATGATCCAAAGTGGAACACTGTTAAAGGCACAACTTTTTATTCATACTTTAAATCTAAAAATGTAGATTTTTAATAGCAAAAAGAGCTTAAGTGGAAGAAAGAAACAAGCCTAAGAACAACGTATACAAAAGAAAGTCAAGGGAATCAACAACCTCAGGGAAGAGAGTATTTTAATGCAGCATGTTACATAAAGCATACTGACTAAAGATATAAGCAACCCTACTTGTGCAGATGCAAAGAGTTGTTGTGTATGTAAGAGGAGGGGAAAAAAAAAAAGAATCAAATTGCCTGGTAAACCCAGCTAAGCCTTCAACTTGATGTGTTTCCACTGTGAAGTAATAAAACACAATCAATTTTTTTAGAGAAAATGAAGGAGTAACTATAGAAAGGAGAGGGGTGGCATTTTTTTAAGTTTTATTAATGGTCTGGAACTGGATTGATGTGTTTGAGACATGAATGTATTAAAAACTGGCTTGAGTTCCCTGCCTAAGTATATCCTATTTTGTGTGTCTCTGCAGGTAATCAGGATGGTATGTTATTTGAATAACTGTGAAATTTCCTTAGACTCCTGTAGCTTTTCTTTTTTTCCTCTGAAAATGAAAGTGTATAATTTGCTCTTGCTGAATGAAACAAATAAACCCCAACAATTTAGCTGTAGGCAGATCTTCTGATCCCAGGAATGAACTCTAAAGCTGCTGCTTCTGTGGTTGTTATTGTGAGCAGAGAAAGGCATTGTAAATAAATGCATTTAAAAAAAATAAATAATGTTGTGTTTTCTGAAAAGGATTTTTTTTTTTTAAGATATGGGAAGAGATGAAAAGCTAGGTTAATTTTGAGTGATAAGTTCTTCTATGTTCTTCTCCTCCTACACCTTTTCCTTTAAAACCTATAGATATTTTACTACAGGAAGCGTATAGCCATGCTTGGTGTAATGCATAGTCAAGGAAGGTGCTTACTTTTCTCCTCCCGCCCCCCCAAGCCTGAATAGGTTGCTGGAGATGATCATGTCACTGAAGTCAGAAGTGTTTGTAATTCATATATCTGTGTCACTGAAGAGTTTCCAAATTGGGGGTTAGCTCATCTAGGACTTAAGAGGACCTAAGAAATTCTACAGGCTTCAGTGGAAATTCTCCCTGCAGTTGCTGTCTGTATTATTAAGTGCTTTACTAATGATGGTGGCTCAAGCTCTAAAGATGAGCTGTGTGAAAGTGCATTTGCTAAAGTAAGCAAGCTTTTACACTAGGTCAGAGGTTTCTTTAACTTCTGCGAAATCAGCATCCTGATGCATGTTCAAAGAGAATGTAATTTGAGATTTTTTCTGGTTCTTGCTGCCTGTGTCTTAATTTCCCCTAGTTGCTATTAGAGATAGAAAGTCCGCGTGTGGCAAGAATTCTGACAGGCAAGCCAAACTTGCACTGTTTGTTGGATTTGAAATGAAAAATGACCTATAAGCATAGGAGCTAGAATAATCCTTTTATATAAAGGGTTCAGTGGAAAAGCTGACATGTTAGTAAAATGTTCGTAGTGTTTGAAGACAGGCATTGCACGTTTAAATTGTCTATTGTGGTTTTCCCCACTAGTGTCAGGTACTGGATGCCAGATCTGCTGCATTTTGGTTTTCATTGTTTGAATGGGGGATGGGAGTGCTGGTAGGTGGTAATGCTTTTCTGGTGCTTGTGGTCCTTAAGGTACCTAAAGGTCTCCCTCAAAGTACTTCATATACAGCAGCATAACTTAGTGTTCAAGTGCGTGCTCTATACCTCACCTTCCTTTATTACTCTTTCAGTTTTAGTGCTTATAGAAAGCTGCTGAAGATGGGAGGTGCAGTGAGTGCAGGAGAAGATAATGATGAATTAATTGATAACCTGAAGGAGGCACAATATATCCGGACAGAACTGGTAGAACAGGCGTTCAGAGCCATTGATCGAGCAGATTACTATCTGGAAGAGTTCAAAGACAATGCCTACAAGGACTTGGCATGGAAGCATGGAAATATTCATCTCTCGGCACCATGTATTTACTCTGAGGTGATGGAAGCTTTGGATCTGCAACCGGGGCTGTCATTTTTGAATCTTGGCAGTGGCACTGGTTATCTGAGTTCCATGGTTGGACTCATCTTGGGTAAATACCTTTTCAATCATGTTAACTGTTTACATTAGATTAAAAAAGAAAAAATTTTGAAATTGGGAATGAAGCATACCTCAAGTAATGAAACTAAAAGGTAGCCAGGAAAGAAAAGAATGCATTAATTCAGCTGGCCAATTTATCAGGATTCTTGCAACCTTCTCTCTGGAACTGGATGGGATCCAGATTTCTGTGGCAGTTCAGAACAGGCAAGGACGTAATTGCCCAGGTGGCTGTAGTGGATTCCTGCAGAAATGGATGGGAACTTGGGTTTGTTGCCCCTTGAGCAAGAACCCAGCTCGGGAGCAGGAGCACCATGTTTAAAATAGGATTGAGCATGTCCACAGAGACCTGTGACTATAGCTGCTTTGTGGCTTGTTTGTTTTTACACTCTCCTGTCTAGACCGAAACGTGTTTGAAATCCAGTTTTGACTCTTACCGACATACAGGTGGGAGTAGTCTCTGGAAAGCAGTTGATGCATCACAACTGACTTTGTGACCACATCTACAGTAGACACAAAGCAAAGCATCAAAGTGCAATTATATAATTGCAATTCACCCTTAAGAATTTCAGTCAGCAATTGTGCTGCTGGGATAGATAGCAAATTACTATAGGGTACATATTTTCCTTTTGTGGGGGTGTCAAGAATTTTAACTGCTGAAACGTTTGTTGTCAGGATAGAACCTTGCTCCATCTCCCATTTGTGGTTTTCAGCTAGGTTTGTTGAGATTACCTAGGATGCAAATATGTAACCCCAGGGCTTTTGAATTCCTTTGAATTTTTTGAAAAGTTACCAAGTCAGTTCGGAATAAAAAGCATGAGTGCTGAACAACTTCTGTATTTTCCAATTTATTTTTGCTGTTAATTGAGGTACAATGTGTGGTGACTGTTCCCAATTCCTTTGAGGAGATTTTCAGCGTATCAGCAAGGGGCTATGAAAATAACATGAAGATTTTTTTGAGAGATTTATTAAAAAATGCAGGCTATTGTTCTGCATTGGAGTTTTTTTCAGGTGGTCAGTTTTACAGCAGTAGTATCAGTGTTTCCCTCCTACAGAGGAATTTCCTGCATAGTTAAGAGCAAATGATTCAAAATCAATTGTGCCAAACAGCCTCATTTGCTGCCAGAAATTGCAGGTATAGGGTTGCAATCCCCATTGTAGTAGTAAGATAGCTGACCCTACACAAGTGCTGACTGTCTGACTCTCAAGGAGCAATCTGTTATAGGAAGTAACCAAAACTGTATTCGATCCTGTTGGATTTTGTGTTGTTGCGTGTTACCATTATGTACTGTTCTATACTTGCAGGTCCTTTTGGTGTTAACCATGGTGTGGAGTTGCATTCCGATGTGATCGAATATGCGAAGCAGAAATTGGACTTCTTCATTAAAACAAGTGACAGCTTTGACAAGTAAGAATGTGGAATGCCCGTTTGGATTCATTTTGTGCATTTGGCTTTAGTCATGGCAGTTCTTGCTCCCGTGTGGCAGCTCTGGATTCAGGGTAATCTGAGGATTTTGGCTCCTTAGGCTTGCTGAGCTGCAGTGTATGACCTTTGAAGCTGATACGTATTGTGGGGGAGTTTCAGAAATTTTTGCAGTGTTTTTAATAGCAGTGCTGCTGTTGCAGAGCTTAAAGGAAGCTGAAGAAGATTACTTACTTTAAAATGCACTTGCAGGTAACAACTTGAAACTTGCAAATAACAATAATAGTTATGTTTGTGATCTGAAAGCGTACATGGTTATCAGAAGAATATGAACTGATTTCTGTGGTGGCCTAATATGTTTTATTTGAGAAGAAGAAAAATGGTGTTTTAAAATATGAAGGTAGTTTTATGATGATGAAGTTGGTACTAAAACTGCTTGGGATTTGATTTACGTTCTTCCTTAGAACCTCCATTTTGCTGCTGTCACAAGTAATAACTTTCCAGCAAGATAACCACTGCCAATAGTAACCTCAGCAATAAAAGTTGTAGCTGTCATATTTTTGGATCCGTCTCACAGTTTGTTCAAACAGGGAAGTAAAGCACTTCTGGATATCTGATAGTCCTCCTCTCATGGGAGGAAGAAAATTAAAGTCATTCTGTGCTGGAATTTAAACTACTCAGCCTTGTGCTATTACTGCTGTGCTGGAAAGCTGCTGATGGCAGGGCTGTATTTTCTTAATGTTGGCAGCAGACCGAAAGTTTTCGGCATGGACAGTGCTTGCACATAGATGACTGGGTTTTTTTCAGAGTCACATTGCTATTGTTTGAATTGGTGTTTTAAGGAAATTTGTCTCTCCAGACAAATATAGCTATGGAGCAAAAGTGAGCTGAATTCAGAAATCAACATGTCTGGAAAATTGGCATTGCTGAGAGAAATGTCCGCTGGGTTATGCTGTTAGAACACCGTGTGCAGGAACTATTGGCTGGCTGCTGTGAATGTCTAGCACACTTTGCAAAACCAGAAGGTTTCAGGAAGTGTTTAGGAATAAATAGGTGCTATATTGAGCTGCCTCTCAAGATTCCAGTAGAAGAATGGATACGTTGTACTGTACAACTTCTATCAAAATCAGCCCTTAAATGTAGGGCTTAAAGCTTATGTAGTTTTGGAGCATGTAAGAGAACCAGAAGCATCACAGAATCATTCATTTTTCTTCTAAACTGAATCAGAAATGCTATAGGCAAAAATTCTTTTTATGAAGGGTGAAATCACAGTTCTTTTGAAGCTAATGGCAAAACTTCCATTGGCTTCAGCAAAGCATATTTCTGAAGCATCAGGTGATAGTTCCCCACAACATCTGAAAACTATTTAAAAGCTTTTGAAAATGCCAAAAAACCCCTGGTGCAGTCCTTAAAAGACCTTAACATTTGGAGTTGCTCGTCTGATATTTATATTTGCATATCATAACTGAGTCAGCATCAGGTGACTAAAAATAGCTCCTTCTGAAGAGTTATATGCAACTAAAGTATGAAATTATGCATCCTTATCCTTTGGAGATTTTCACCTATGAATTCTTACCTCGTTGTTCTGTGGTTTTAAGACTTCTAGCTGTGGTCTGTTCCAGTAATGTCTAGAATATATGGGCTTCAGAGGAGAAATCCCATGAAACTGGGGTTTTTTCCAAGTATTTTTCATTGTTTCATTTTTTTTCAGAATCATGAAAATAATTCATTTGATAAATTGTAATATTCTTGTATGATACCATCTTCTTCATTTTCAGATTTGAATTTTGTGAGCCATCTTTTGTTACCGGCAATTGTTTAGAGATTTCTCCAGACTGTACTCAGTATGACCGTGTTTACTGTGGTGCTGGAGTACAGAAGGAACATGAAGACTACATGAAGAACCTGTTGAAAGTTGGGGGAATTCTTGTCATGCCTCTAGAAGAGAAGGTTGAGTGCCTTTCTACCCATGTTTCTCTTTCAGTTATTCTTAATTCTAATCTCAGTTTAGTCAATAGCTCTTCCTTTAGTGTGCCCTTCTTGTAGCAGATTGAAGAAAGCACCAAGTGCACCAGTTTTCACTGTGAGTGGAAATGCAACTCTGCTCATTTAATAATATTTAAGAAATTCATAGTTCTACCAGTCTTCCACATATTCAGATCTGTTGTTTTTAATTGCAAATTTATTTTCATGCTGCAGAAAAATGTCAGCAAGGCTTTGTTCAAGTTACATCATCTAGTGTTGTACTTAATGGCAAAATACAAAATTACCCCCTAAATGGCTTATGAAAGAGCATGCAAGTTGTCCCTATTTAAAAGTGTCAATGGATTCTTTTTAGTAAAAAGTGGGTAACTGCCCTGTGTGCGAGTTTAGGATTGTAATTCAGATTATTTTTTTGGTGTAAAGGTGTGTTGTTTTAATGGACTTGAATGACTGAGGTGTAGGTATGTGACCTTTTACCTCTGTCAGGGTGGTTGAGGTGGGCAGAGTTTCTTCCCAGTGAGATGTTGCGCAGTGAGTTAGTGTAAGATTTGAGCTGGAACAGAAATCCAGTGACCTTCAGGCTTCCTTCAAGAGTGAACGTTCATCAGTGACTGGCATGTTTTCTCAGTGGTGAGACATAGCTGTTCTGGTTCAGAATTGAGGAAGATCTGGGAAAGCAGGGTGACCCAAACTGTCAGTGCCCATACTGTGTTGCAACAGATGAAGTTACCTGGGACTAATCCTGTAAAGAGTTCTCAATTTTCTCAAAAAAGCTGCAGTGTTTCTCCATATTACCTAACTTGTACTGTTGTTGCTTCTAGTACTTTAACCACTTGTCCAGGCAGAAAAGTAATTTGTTCATTTTTTGTTCAGAAATCTTGTAGTTCACACAATGGACAATAATCTCCTTGTTTTGATTTAGTTGACTAAGATAACTCGTATTGGTCCTTCTGCCTGGGAGACCAAGAAGATTCTTGCTGTTTCTTTTGCTCCTTTGATTCAGCCTAACCACGCAGATTCAGGAAAATCAAGGCTTGTTCACTTGCGTGAGTACAGACATTCTTGAGTACGGGGGGCGGTTTCTTCTGCTATTTGGCTATAAACTGCACCTTACTTCCTTAGATGTAACATCCCTATGAATCCTTTCATGGAAAATTATTCCGACTGCTTCCTTCTTTGAACAGTTGTCTAAGTCTTGTACTGGCTCCCAGTCCACCCTTGAGGATATCTGCAGAGGCCTGGTGCAAGAATCAGAATTGCAGAAAACAAGATTCTAAATACAAATGATTTCTTGTGAAATTGTACCTAAACTTTGTGGGATGTTTCATCATTGTTTTTGCACATGCAGACATCTATTTCAATCCTGAATTACATACTGTCGTGGTTCTCGGGCACTGTGCCATGGTGATGGAAAATACACAAGCAGTACCTGTGAACAAACATTGTATCTACTCAAAGGCTCTCACTGCCTAGCAATTCAGAATTATCCCGAACCTGGAACCCTTGAGGGATAGAAGTTGTGCAATTTTTGGTTAGCTGTTTGAAATGCAGGTTGTATGCAGTGGCCTCAATCTTTAGATTAAGACTTCAGTGTAGGGAGGCCTCTTAAGAACATGTGAAGACAGAGATACTTCCATAAAGAGATTAGTCAGGCTTTGTTCTTATTCTGGAAAGGTGTCTTTGCATGACAAAAAGCAGCTCAGCAAGCCGTCCATACAGTGCTATAAAGCCCATGAAGTGCATATTCCAGCATACTTCGTATGGTGGCTTTGTAGTGAGACCTGCATATATATTACATGTAATTTTTTTCTGGTTCCTTCATTCAGGTCACAGGAATGCTTACTTGTCAGTAGAAGACAGGGAGGTTTTTTGTTTCAGTTTTAATTCATTTTAGTACATGGATGTGTGTGCATTAATACATTTTTTTCTTTATACTACATGAGTTATGTTGTGCACTTACGGGCTGGCAGCAAATAAGTGCAGAAGACAGAACAGTCTTCCAGACCATTAATGTGGGAAGTATTTTAATACAATAACTTATTGTATGCTTCTATAATTAGTTTTACCAAATGGTTTCCAGCCAGTCTTCACCCACTAAGACTGAAGCAGTTTTTGAAGAGCGTAAATAGTACTCGTGTTTTATAAGTGAAGAACTTGGCAAAGCTGAAGTAACTTCAGAATAGAAAAATCATTTTATGGAAGAGTTAAATAGACTTCAGGTCTAGTTCTCTATGGTCGGAAAATATCTTTTTCTAAGTTATTAAACAGTCAGAGTTTCAGTCACTAAGTCTGCATTCTTATAATCTTTAAGACATGTGTATCTTAAAATAATTGTGAGGACTTGACATCAAAATATGAAACTCTTCTTTCATCCCATTCTTTTTCTTCAGTTAATGAGAGAAATGCATAATTAAATTTTGTTTGGGAAGTTACAATACAGTTTATCTGAGTTGACAGGAGTTGAATAGGGCTGTTTTTGTAATCACAGCAGGGAATTCAAGTGGCCTGATTTAATTTGCGCAAATACAACTTTTCCTGTGAGCACTCTTGAGGGGAGTTTCTTCATATCTGTTCATGGTTTTCATTTTGTTTTAGCCCCAGTGGCTGTTCGCAGCCTCCAGGATCTGGCTCGCATAGCCATCCGAGGAACCATTAAAAAAATTATACATCAAGAAACAATGGGCAAAAATGGAAATGGGCTGAAGAACCCTCCAAGATTTAAACGAAGACGAGTGCGTCGCCGTCGCATGGAAACTATTGTTTTCTTGGACAAAGAGGTCTTCGCTAGTCGTATCTCCAACCCATCAGATGATAACAACAACAGTGAGGATATCGAGGATGAGAGACGAGAAGAGGAAGAAACTAAACCCTCTGAACTAAAGCCAGATCCCCCTGTAAACTTTTTGAGGGAAAAGGTCTTGAGTCTGCCTTTGCCTGATCCCTTGAAATATTACCTGCTTTATTACAGGGAAAAGTAATTTCCTTCTTCTAGAAAGTGGGAAGTAGGCAGAAAATAAAGTATTACTTAGGGCTTGACAAATGTATACCACTTGCTTGCCTGCTAATATGACCACCCAAAGCAGTAGGCTAGCTGGGGAACATGGCTGCTGTACACTTAAACATTATAGCTTTTTTGAGTTTCTTCTTTCTTCTCAGTTGTGTGCTATAGTTTTATCCTACAGCAGGGATTCCTTAGGAAGCAAGTTGGTGAAATGCTCAGCTGCTTATGGAAAGGAGGATTTAATTCTCTGAAACTAACTGCACAGAGATATTCTAAAAATCTCATGGCTGCTCTACCGAATTGCAGTGTTTAAATATTCTCAAGCAGTTCCCCAAAGACCTTTGCTGTCTGTGCTTTCTCCCACTAAACCTGCCATCTATTTACTGTGGTGTGTGTTTAATGGAGGATGAAGATTATTAGTAAAAACTGACCTGGCAAATCTTGTTTCTTCCAGTAACCTGAAAAAGCACAACTTTTACAGAAAGGAAAGAATTTTTGGCATTACCCTTGTGGCAGCCAGGTTTTGAATGAGAAGGAAAGCATCAGCTCCCCTGTGGTTGGTCTCAGTTTTGCATATAAACTATATATAATTTTTCAGTAAAAGGTAAAAATGTTTTAGAGAATACTGATTTTCTTAATGGGAAACACCTGTTCTAGTGAATTAGTCTAAGAGATGCAAAGTTGTTTTTTGGTTTTTGTTTTTTTTTTAAAGCAATGGAGGCAAGTAAAGAATTGCAAAGCTGATTAGCTTTGACAGGATGCTAAGGTAGTCAGGGTTGTGACTGTTGTCTCTGGAAATGTTTACAGAGTAATTCTGAATGGGGAAGAGGGTAGAGAGATGCGAAGCAGTGAGTTTGTGAAAACTGACTGTGAAAGCAGAATCTGCGGATTTTGCTGTTATATGAGATAACTTAAATCTGCTGGGCTGAACAGAGTGAAGTGCAGCGTGCTAGCTTGAGCAGAGTGGCTTGTGTCCTGGTAAATCAGCCAAATGTAGTTTTGTGGAGGGTATGTAGAACCTGAAAACAGTCTAGAAAACCAAATTGATGCAATTCTTAGGTGTTCCTGTGTGTGTGCCCCTGCTGTAGCAAGGTGGCTAGAATACAACCTGTGTACACACGGTCCACATACGGTAGGTAGAATGAAGTTGATCAACTTGTTAAGTTATTTTATTCCTGTAACAATTAAGTAGATGTTTTAACAGGCTTATATAGAAGGACTTTACGCTCTGCAGTTCTGTGGATGTGAACTCTAATTTTTATTCCCAAGTCTTCCTGTAATGGTGATAGAAGTAGATATCGTGTTTAGAAGGGGAAGTTTACTTGGTTCAGCCTGTTTGAAAAACCTACCTAAACTGGTAAAGGCTGGAAAGAAACCCTTGAGCTTGTATTGATGTGAAATACTCTTAAAGCTGGTGGGGGGGAACCCCTCTCCGTAGGTAATGAAGCTATGTTAAGGCATTGCCCCATCAGCAGCACTTAAGTTGGTATCACTTTGATATCTTTTTTTTTTTTTTTTTAATGCTGTCTCCTCATTTTCTGAGGAGGAATGAATGAAGACTGTCTTGCCAAAAGTACGTTGGGTTTTCGGTTAATGGTACTGAGTTGCACAACTTGCCTAATGATAAATGGTGTTTCAAAGTTCTGTGCGGCTTTGAAAATAAACAGATAACTCTTGTACATCTCTAAGCCCAAGGTGGAGAATTCTTCCTTGCTTAATAGGCTTTTTTATATCTTTGAGAATATCATCTGATAATACGGTGTCATGTGGCCGCTGGCACATAACACAGTCGTAGGCTGTGCTTTGCCTTTGGTTTCCTAAGTCTCCACTTCTGGCCTAAATGGTACCCTAAGCTATCTTGCTCCCTCAGATTTTTATTTGTTTATTTTAAATGGGGCAGTTCTATGGCCACTGAGCTGATGGTTTCCTGTAAACATGCAAGTACCCATCTTGTAATTCTGGCAACTACAATGAATTTCTTTCTACAAATGAAAATCCCGGATATGGTGTTAAATAGAGGCTTAATAGAATCTACGTGTAATATTTCCCTGTGCTTCCCTGAAGGCTGTCACCTCTGTATTTGTTAGGCATTTCTGCTTAATAGCTGTCATACCAGGTATGTGCCTTTCTGTATTGTGGCACAATTTCCACACCCCTACATAGTACAGGGTGCCTCCTACTTTTGGCTATCAGGTCATCCTTCAGTTTGTTAATTACAAAACTTCTTTTAAAGAAGTTGCTTTAAAAATGACATTAAACTTCAAGTTCGTATTAGTTAGCCTTGTTGAGATTCTGTTAAAGCTGACCAGTTGAGGGAGAATTATCTTTCATTTATCCCTGTTTGATTTTAGCCCCATCCCACCCCCAGTTGTAAAAGATATTTTATCAGATTTTTCACCAGATTTGCCTTTTGTATTACATTTGCTAGATTTTTGTAGCTTTCTATAAGATGCATAAAATACTGCTATTTTTCCTGGATAAGGTTGAATAAATAAATATATATACAGGAAATTTATGTTCTAGGTTGTCAGATTGTCACCTTGTCCAAAAACCCACAGATCCAAACACAGAGTAGAAATTTTATGTGTAATATAACTGTGAAATAGTATTGCTTATAGCCTGTAAATGAAGGGGAACTGTAAATACATTTTCCCTGTGCACAAGGACTTGCACTGTAGTTTTGTATGCATTTCTAATAGAGTAATTGTAGCATAACTGTTTTTGTGTAGTCTGTAAGCTGTCTAGGAATTTTACCTGCTTGGTTTCCTTTTGTGTTCGAAGTAGTCTTCACTTTAATGGTATGTGGCTCCTTTTAGGTTTCGATACTGCAGTAAATTTGCAAAAAGAAATGAACTTCAAGCTGCTTTAATCATTAATGTGTAAGTTGAAAAATCTATGTGTAGAAACTAGAGTTAAATTGGCCTGAGGCATGCGAAAGTGTTACACAATTTAAACATTATTAATAAGTGTTTCTGTATCAATAAATTCAGTAAAGACTTTTTAGCCTTCTTAACATGGCTTTGCATCATGTTGTGATTAGAATACTTTGTAGATAAGTACTTATTTCCATAATTGAAGGTTAAGACACCAGACCACTAGAAAAAACACTTAATAATATGGTGCAGGTGCATAGTTTTAGATGAACTCCTCAGAATATAATCTCTCAAAAGAAACCTGCCCAGCTGATGTTTTCTAAACCTTTATGTAATGGAGTTGTGCAAGATGCGTTTTGGAATTAGCACACACAGAACTGATCTAGATTTAATATATCAGAACAGTTAAAGAGTGAATTTACTTACCTGGCTGTTAGACCTGTAGACAACAAATATCAAGATGTCATTTAGTCCACTGCTGTATTTCAAGGAATGGCCTAAACCAAACATGTCAGGAGTTTGTTTAATGCATTCTGAACTGCAACTCCCCTCTGGTCTCCTGTGCTCTGTTTCAGTGCTTAATTCATGGCAATTTTTAAGAGCTGGTGTTCAAGGCTTCCATTTCACTAGTATTGAGAATAATATTTTGGCTTCAGCTGTAATAGGAAACTGATCATAATAGCAAATACAGCTGTTGCTAATTAGATGTGTCTGTTAACCTTTATTCCACAGGATAATTACGTGTAGTCTGTGTTTCTTAATGTCATCTGTGTGTGTGTGATAGATGTCCTTTTACCAGCTATAACATGAGACTAGTTCAGTGATAATGTTTTCCTTCACGTGATGCTTGCTGAAAAAAAAAAAATCCTTTTCTGCTTTGGAAAGCTATGGATGTGTCATACAAATGGTGTCAAGTAAATGAAATTTGTAGATAATGTTTATGTTCCCTTTATAGTAAAATGTAAAACATCACGGTTTCCTGGGAAGTAGTGATGAGCTCCTTGGGGGACCTACTCCAACGAAATCTTCTTACTGCCATAGAAGTGATAGTTAAAAATAAAGAAGGGGCAGGGGGGGAGACCCACACCTGAAAAACAAAAGCAAACTTCCTTGCATTCTACCTGTGTGGAAAAAGTGTGTCTAGGAGAGACTAACAATGCTTAAGCATGGGACACAAGGTTCCTGTTGCTTAGGAGTTAGCTTTTCGTTCTTGTTCAGAGCTGCATGCTCCTTTTTAAACTGTTTGTCATGTTGATGGAAAATAAGATAAATTAATGCAGGAGTAAGGAAACTGTGATTGCTAGCATTTCATAACATCTCACAAACATCCCATTTGTTGTGAGGGGGAGATAAGCAAGGTAGAACAAGTATGTTTCAAGTTCAAGTGAAGATTTGCTTCTCGGTAAATGTATAGGTTGCAGAACTTGCTTTTTTGCACTCAAGTTATTCTTTGTGGTATGGCCACTGTTAATCTGCTGACTTGGCTAAAGATCCCATTCCCACAAAGTTGTAGGCAAATACCCATCAATCCTCCCAGAAGCTGCCACCGACTGCACAGCCAGGCACTGAAATAAGATTCCAAAGACAGTACGTATAGAAACATGACTGATGCCTGGCCCAGCTCTCCTGTTAGCAATATAAATAAACTTGGAAGAGATTTTTTGGGTTTAGAGCTCAGAGTTTATGCACCAAGATGTGATTGGAGGCAGAAGGCAAAAGCTTTGTATTTGTAAAGTGGCCAGATGTACCAGGGAAGATGTCGATGACTTTCTTAAATACTGAAGCATGGTTTGAAGAGAGCATTTTTGTTTATTTTCCTAGAAATACTTCTTTACAGAGCAGCTCCTATGTAGCTGTGTTACCCTGTCCTAACAGAGTTCAATGTGTTTTGGAAAGATGATATGAGGAGCAATCAGACTGGAAGAACATACAACTTAAAGTCTTGAAGATTTTGACATAACCTGCATTGTCTTTTCTGATGCACATGAAGGATGCACTTTTAATGCACTTAGGTTCTCAAACTGGGATTAAAAGCTGTCATTCACCTGGAGCAATCTGGCCTCAGCTGCCAACTGTTGTTACATAAAGGCTGAAGGAGATAATTTAGCCTTTTACAACCTTTTTTTGTAACAAAGGGTTGGGTGGCCACTAGAGGACACTCTGCTCAAAACCATGAGTTGGGTCCGCAGGGGGAGCGGGGAAGAGTTCAGCAAACTTGCTTGAATTTTAATTGTGATGTCAGGGCAAACAAGCAACAGATTGCCTGAGAACTAGGTGCAGAAAACCTGCAGTATAATGCCCTTTATAGTTGGGAAAAACTATAATTTTTACCATCTATGACATGAAATTTGTAAGTGAAACCCCCAAACCCAACACTCTCTCTGCCTGTGCTCGAGCGACAAAGAATCTGAAGGGAGAAAAGAACTGGGGAGGTTTAAATGTCACCCTTGTTAAGTACTGTTTTGTCACGTTAATTCTATTGTAGTTTATGATATAAAGCAGACGTGCAGGTTGATGGGAAACTTGTGTTTGATCTTCCAGGTAATGTGGAGCAGTGCCATGTTTGGTATTCCTCAGGTACCTTTATATCCTAATAAGCATTAATGCCTCGCACTCATTTAGGATCTTGTGTAGTAGTAACTTAAAATCTAAAGACAAGCTGTTTCCACTCTAAGCTACTTTATAACACTAAAAGGCGATTAATTAAACTCAAAACAAGTCTTCCCTTTTGCATCTCCACTTTGTCATCCAACGGGAGAAACAAACTGAGGTCTGCGTTTCCTGCAGTTCAAACTCAGTTGATTTCATTGTTTCTTTCCCTCTTCACCCCTCAATTGCCTTTAATTTCTCCAAAATCCTGACATTTTTCCAAATGACATCCTTGTAGAAAGAAATTATACTAGCTAAAAGGTCTTTGAAATGAATCAGCTTTTACTCTGCATAAAAAACTTTACAGAATGCATACAATCAGGGTTTTTTTGTATTTATTTGCAGGTTATTTATCTCTTTTAAAATCACTTATCTGTAGCATTCCATGCTCCCGTCAATGGTTGGAAACATATTTTTGTTGGATGTTGTAACTACATGTAATAAGAGACAGCCTCTGTCCTAAAAGTCTTACTGCCTGATACGTTTGACAGGCTGTTAGATAAGATGCTATCCTTAGTTTGCAGAGAGTGTGCTAAGGCAAAAATTTTGACATAAAAAACTTGACCCTGGGCCATCTGCATCCTAGCTCAGCCTTGGAAATACAGGGTCATTTTTTGGTCATTGTTCATGAAGGTGCGTTCTGCATGCTTGCAGATAAATGCCTGAGGAGAAGGTGAGGAGTTAACTTGCTGTTCAAAGTAAGAAACAAGGCAAAAATAAATCAAAATTAAGAGTTTGCATTTCAGCACCACAATTAAAGAGGGGTGGGAACAGTCTGATCTTCAGTGATGTACATAATGGCAGAGAGGGTGGGCGGTTGGACTGTCAAACTGCCTTAATTTAATTGCAAACACATGCTGATGAGTCCCCTCCTCCTGGACCTCAGGGCTGGGAAACTTTTTTTTGTCAGCTCCCCGCAGTTCAGAATTGAGGCAAATACACTCCAGCAAACACCATGCTGATCAAATCTTCAGCTCTTCGAGGCTTTTTGTGTTTTCTCCTCTTGCCTAGTTTCTCCTGCTCCTGTCCTAGTCGCTGCCTGTGCTTCAGAACTACAGTAAGATGCATGCATCTGATGTTGGAAACCATCCCCGATATCCCACCCCAGACAAACATACTGTGAGTAACCATTTCGTTTTACTGCCTTTCTTACCTGCTTGGTCTTTAGAAAGAAGAAAGAAAACGTCAAGGCCAAAGGCATGCTTTTTTTTTTCTGCAGAATTTTCTGCATCACAAACTGTTTCATGCTTTTAAAGCATAAAACAGAAACTACTCTTTTTTTGGCATCAGTTAATTATTAACAGGACAATCAAGGGAATTGAAAAATGTAATAAGAATAATGCCAGGGCGATCACTGGAAGACAGTTTTGGAGAATCAAAGGTCAAAAGTGTTAAACCGAGCTTATAGAAAGGTACACAGTTTACATTTGAGAAGGCTTTGTATATGGGTGTAGGGGAGAGAGAGGAAATACAGCAGTTCAGGCTTTTGTCTCTACTGAAAAAAACACTTCTCTAATATATACAACACCATTTCTTTCCTAAACTTTAAGTACTGCTTTTTCAGTTTCTATCTGAACTATACAAACCAAACTTAAGGCTTATTTGGAAGGCAACAATTGTGGTAACTCACAGATTCCTTGATAAATAAAATACCTGTTGGCGAGGGAGCTGCTGGCTGAGGCCCTTTGAACAGAAAAGGTGGAGGAACAGGGTATGTAACGCTTGGAGAGTCCTAAGAAGCCCTTGCTGATAGATCCAGAAGAGCACTTCCCTGTGATTCTAAACTAATCCTCACCTTAAAGGTGGCTTTAAGATGCATTGGCATATGACAAAATACTTCCCTTTATGCTACTCTTAGCTGATCCCTTGGTTTGGAAGACCTTTTTTGTAAATAGTAGGAAAGACTCATCAAAAATTTGTCTTTATACTCATCCTCCTTAAACTGCTGCCAACTGTAAAACTTTTTCAAGACTAGTTTGAGAAGCTTTTCACTGTGCCTGTAACAATCCAAATTTGGTCTCAATCAGAACATCTATACCAGCATTTCTCCTGTAATCATCTCACTAATATTGCTAATGCATTTTCTCTGCTGGCAGCCTAAGGAACATGATGTGGGCAGGATGCTGGCATTTTAATTGCTGCCATCCAGATCTGCTTTGGTGGATGGAAACTGCAGAGGTTCTAGCATTAGTGGCACACAGGAAAATATCTACGCTTGCTACAGCTGCCAGAGCTATGCTGTTGGGGAAACTGATTGCAGCTGGGCTACTTGGGAGTCACCTTGACACAGGGCAGATCAGAATCTGGACTTACTCTCTCCCTAGGCTAGTGATGGAGTGGTTATTCTACAGCGTGGAACTGGTCAGTACTCTATGGCTTGTTGCAAACTGTCTGGGTGGTGGTTATCTGCTCTTACAGCAACTTGCAGAGTCTGACTCTCCAAATTGTCACCAAACTTCCCCCCCGCCCCTTACTCCCCTGCATCTTGAAATATTAAAATATTTAAAAAACCTTACACTGTTTGATCTCAGCAAAGTAACTTGTTTCTCCTTGTTTAAACATAGATTTTACTGAGAGAAAAGTTTGTTTTGTTGGCTGAACTGAGAAAGCTTAATTTCTGTTCTCTGTTTGAAATGAGATATTTACTGTCCCACTGGATAGCCTGAGTGTGTTTTGGGTAGACATTCTTTGCAGAGGGAGGGAAATTTACTGTAGTCACCAACTTTTTTTTCAGTACTGCAATGGTGTATTTCTAAATGCCCTCTGGCAACAGCACACTTCATTCTCTGTGCTGAAGGGGGCAAACCTAACTCTGGTCCATGGCTTGTCCTTGCAGCTTTAGTAAAATTCCAGATAGTATCTTGCTACAACGTAAGTGGCATTTAGTTGTCTAAAACTCAATCTAGAAAGGTGACCAGATTTTCCAGTGCAGTGTATACAGTTATCCTAATTCCCTCTCCCCTGCT